AATACTAGGTCAGACCGCTGCAAGGAATCTGCTTCAAAGAACGGTCAATCAAGGGAAAATTATTCCAAGAGCTGGTTAATTAAGGACGAATCTCTCCAAGGCTCATACTACGGTAGACCATCTCAAAATCTCGGTGAAGCCAACCATTCTAAGAGTCATTCAAGTAGGAGCATAATGCTTCAAAGTTCAAAATAGTAAGGACAATTATCTCAAGTACATAGTATGGGAAAACTACTTTTAAACTCATATTGAGGCGAATATTTTTAAAGATCCAACAGATTGGGGAAAGACATGGCACATAGGGGAAAGTCCTCTTAATTATTACAAAATGCTCAAGCAATCCTTCTCCTACTTCATCAATCTTCGAGTTTGAAATGAGTATCGGGAAGTTATGCTAGCATAATACCCTACCACCTTTTGACAAGCAGCCTTGTTACATAAGCAACCTCTCTAAGCCTTAACCGTCCACGACCCACCGCATGGGAATCATTTGAAAGCATTCAAGTAATTGCATAAATCATTGTCATGCATTCATTAGGTCGTTTCCCTCTAGCATCATGACATGCATATTATCTAGCATGTTCCCATATCATGAATCTAACATCTACAAAGCCAAGAATCTCTTGGCACCTCACAAAAGCCCAACACCTCTTAGTGCATATCAAGAGCCCAACCTAGACCAGTATCTCACAAAGCCCAACTTCATTTGGCACCCATCAACTATAGTCTAAATCCCAACCTTTCTTGGCACCCAACACCTACAATCAGAGTTTAGTTCTCGTATGACCATTTTAAATACTCATCATCTACTGGAGCTCGTCCAGAACATTTGTACATGCATTACCAAGCTTGAACCCTTAAAAGGGGAAATTTGAGTCCATTATGATATACTCACTTTGAAAGATCAATCATCCATTAGGATCCATTACCTAAAATTTGCAAAACTTGCAAAAACCTCGAATCCAAGCATCATGTCACGCGTAGCATATCCACGAATGTGGAGCATTACGCCATACAAATTCCAAACATACATTCATAGCAAAATATGAATTCATAGCAAAGCATGCATACATGACATAACATAAGGGTCATGATTCCTCGAAAAATCAAAAATCAATCCCCAGCTAAGTCAGTGAAAGCTCTCCAACTAGGCTTATCCCTTATTACTATACATCCCAGCGAGTATGTCATATATACATTTCCTATTAACCCAAATTATAATCCCCAAGAAAGCCTATTTCAGCAAGTAGGTACATTAACTTTCCCTAGTATAATTCTCCATAAATTCTCATTTGAAAGATGCCCCCCAACAACTCTTTCATGTTTACCTTGTTAATCCTTTAGCTTAGGTAAACTCTGTCCAACTTGCCTTGTTAATCCATTGGTTTAGGCAAACTCTTTCCTATTTACCTTGTTAATCCCTTGGTTTAGGTATTTTTTTTCCAACTTTCCTTGTTAATCGCTTGGTTTAGGCAAACTATTTCCTATTTACCTTGTTAATCCTTTGGTTTAGGAAAACTCTATCCAGCTTTCCTCGTTAATCCCTTGGTTTAGGAAGACATTATCTCTCTGTCTTGTTTGCCTTATTAATCCCTTGGTTTAGGCAAACACTCTTTCTCTATCTTGTTTGTCTTGTTAATCCCTTGGTTTAGGAAAAAAATCTCTCTGATCCATTTGCCTTGTTAATCTCATGGTTTAGGAAAACTTCTATTCTCTTTTGTCTTGTTAATCCTATGACTTAGGAAAACTTCTATTCTCTTTTTCCTTGTTAATCCCCCTAATTTAAGCAAACTTCTATTCTCTTTTTCCTTGTAAATCCCCTGGTTTAGGCAAACTTTTATGCTCTTTTTCCTTATTAATCCCCTGATTTAGGCAAACTTCGAAACTATTTCATGTTTACCTTGTCAATCCCTTTATTTAGGCAAAATTTAAAACTCTTCCATGTTTGCCTAGTTAATCTTATGGTTAGACAAACTTCTATTCTCTTTTACCTTGTTAATCCCCTGGTTTAAGAAAACTTTTATTCTCTTTTCCTTGTTATTCCCCAGGTTTATGCAATCATTCAAACTCTATCATGTTTACCTTGTTAATCCCTTGGTATAGGTAAACTTTGTCCAGCTTGCCTTGTTAATCCCCTTGTTTAGGAAAACTTATATTCTCTATTGCCTTGTTAATAACCTGGTTTAGGAACTTTTTACAATTTTATGCTCTTTGTTAAGACACCACTTTTACAATTTCATTACTTGGTCCATCCAAAATCATTACATTATCCGGTCCGTCTGAAACCTTTTTATTATCTTTGGTCAGTCTAGAATCATTGCATTATCTAGTCTGTTCGGAACCTTTTTCATTTTCTCCTATCGGTTTGTAATATATTTATTACCCGGTCCGTCCGGAATCTTCTCAATACTCGGTCCCTCCGAAATCTTCTCATTGTTTAGTCTGTCAAGAATCTCATTATTACCCGGTCTGTTCGGAAAAAAATTCAAATCATTTGGTGCGTCTGGAACCCTCCAATTATACCAGGCCTCTTCCAGAACCATTTCAAACATTCACTCCTTGTGGATCTTCATCAACCCATTAGTTGAAAGCAGTCTTTATTGACCCATCAGTCAAAGTTCATCAACCCATCGATTGAAAGCAGTTTCTATTGACCCATCATTCAAAGTTCATCAACCATCGGTTGAAAGCAATTTCTATTGACCCATATGTCAAAATTCATTAACCCATAGGTTGAAAGCAGTTTCTATTGATCCATCGGTAATAGTTCATCAATCTATCAGTTGAAAGTAGTCTTTATTGACCCATCAGTCAAAGTTGATCAACCCATTGGTTGAAAGCAGTTTCAATTGACCTATCGATCAAGGTTAATCAACCTATCAATGGAAAATAGTTTTTTATTGACCCCGTCAATTAAAGTTCATCAACCCAGCTATTGAAAACAGTTTTTTATTGACCCATTGGTCAAAGTTAATCAACATATCGGTTAAAGGCAGTTTTCATTGACCCATCGATCAAAATTAGTTTCAAGTGGATCGAAATCAACCCATCCATTGAAGACGGGAATTCCAAGCACTTCAATATGTTTGGCCTCGTCCAGAATCATTTCAATTACCTCTGGTTTGTCTAGAACTCTTTGATCTTCTTTGGCTTCGTCCATAATAATTTCACCACCTCTGATCTGTCTAGAACCCTTCGATTACATCTAGCCTCGTCTAGAATCATTTTAATTACTTATGGTCCGGAACACTTCGATCCTCTATGGTCTCTTCTTGAACATTTCATTCCTTCTATGACACTCGTCCATCATGTTCTCTTTGGTGTCCTCGATGCATCCAAACAGGGGACCCATTTCATTCTAAGTCCTATCAAGGCAAAATCAAGTCTCGAAGGTACAATATTAACCTGTGGGCGGGTGCTTGCCCGCTTATCCTCGACGAAGTTAGTCCTTCATACAATTTGTTTTCTCTTAGAGGGAAATTTGGGGTCTTTTGATATTTAATTATCCTTCACCACGAGCATGCAAAGACCTCATATTCCGCACTCTCGAGGCGAAAGATAATTAAATAAGGGAAACTATCATATCCCAAATTTACCCATCTTTCATATGTTTTCTAGTGCCACTTTATTTTTAATAAATGAAATGACACATTTGATAATAGAGCATTTTTAAAGCTAGCAAGAAAGAGGTCTTGAGTTCGAATCTCGCATTTCCTATATTTTTGGTTTTTTCTCTCTTTTGTTCTTTTTCACTATTTTTATTTGTTTAGAAAGAATATTTTATTACTATTAGTTAACTTTGTTTTTAGCTATTATTAGTTTTTATTAAAATTATTTTCTACTTATTCTTATTATTATTATGTTAATTTATTAGATTTTACTCTTAAACAAAAATAAATAAAAAAGAGTCAAAAGTGGTTTTTTATGATCTAATTATTAATTTTCATTTTCTTTTATTTAGTATTTTTTAAAATATTTTTTTATTTAGTTCATGGTTTTACTCACAAAATAGCAAAAAAATCTTTAAAAAATGTTATTAGTGATTTTTTTCTCCCTTTTTTTTTTTACACTTTTGTATGTCTTTAGAGGCAAGTAGACAAATTTAGAAAAGAATTTATATAATTTGGTTTAAAAAGGTCATAAATTAAAATTAAATGATTTTATTTTTTGGACTTTTAATTATTTTTTTTCCATCTTCTTAAATTAAAACTAAAAATAGGATACTCATTTACAATATTTCACCAATTCAACACACTCTCACGTACATATTCACACAAATCTCATTCAAAAAAGCTTGCACGATCACTTTCAGCTAAAAAAGCCATTTACTATTGCCCACACTCACAACACACTCGTACAATAAACCCACTTTTTTCACTAATTTTCTAACATGTTTTAACATATTTTTTTCTCTAATTCCCAAATTTTGGTCTCACACTTTGACCATACACCATTTAGAAAAACCTGTAGTTCACCGGGCCACATTCTTACCATACAAATCTGTAATTATCATACCACCTTTTATACATAATCTTTCACGCATCAAAAAATATTGTTTTGCAATGCACAAAAAAAACCACCAATTATTCAAAAAAACACTGTACATATTTTTGACATTCTCACCACACACTTACTAATCCACAGTTTTTTTAATATCATCATCTTCACTTAACCTATACTAACCGCACTACACAATACATACATTTTTATAAATAAATAAAAAAACCTCACAAAATCTCTGTCACAGTTACCATGCAAACGGTTTTTAAACAAATTCATATCTCACAATCACCATTCGTAACCAAACATTACAATTTCATTCTTATCAACCTGTGTAACATTCAAACAATCCAAATTTTCAAAATAATCAAATCCAAACATTAATTCAGCCTTAGTACCAAATCATTCACACAAAAAATTCATAACAAATCAATAAGAAAAAGGAGAGATCAGAAGAAGCATTTTTCTCAGCATAAAGCGCCGAAACAAGTCTCTCCGAAATGATTCTTTTCACCGCATATGGCTTCCACGCGCAAAAACAAATCATCGACGATAACCTGTCACTTCTGACGTCTACACATGAAAGGTCCAACACATCCATATTTTCGAAACTCCACGTCACCGGAACTGCGAATCACTGCGCCGCCAACTCTGAGCAACCGCCGCCTTTCCGTGCCACCTCCCACAATTGGTAACTTTGTGATGCCTTTTTTTTCTTCTTTTTGATCTCTGTATTTTATGATGTTTCAATTTTTTGTTCTGATGTCTTGATTTGAAGATTTTAATCTGTTTGAATGCTTTGATTTTGGAAAAGAATGAGATTTTAAAAATGATGATTGAAGGAGTACAAGTAAAGAGAAGAAGAAGAAGTGAAAGAGGGAATACATTTTTCGGGATTTGTACTATATATTATAATCTTGGTTGGTCTATTTTTATTTATTTAGTTTTAACATTATCTCATGCCACGTGTTGATCTCCCATTGGTCGTATGGTATGTGGAAAAATCAAGGAAATCATGTATCAACACACCTTCTCATTCTTACTGTAATGTTAATTTGTTTTTTTCTCTTTTTTCTTTATTTTATTTTTTTAACTTTTAATTAGTTAGAATTAGGGTTCTTTTGGAAATGAGCCTTAAGCACAATTGGATTTCCATTCACACCTTCCTTTTGAGTTTTCACCCTCCTTTCTTTTAGTTTTAATTTAGCTAGATTTTTTATTTATTTAAGCTAATTTATTTATTTAGCTTTATTTATATAATATACAAAGTACCAAAAACAAAAAAAAAACTATAAAATACAAATATATGTGTTTAGTTCTTAACTAATTTGTACATATTCTATAGGTTTTCCCGCTTGATTTAACATCTTTACACCATTTTTTAATAAATCACTAACTCAATCAATTAAAAAAAACAATAAGTATCTTTCTTCAAACTTTAAAATTCACTTCACTCATCAAATCCTATTTTTCGCTCCCTGCGATAATCAACATCTTTTCGCTCCGTGCGATAATCAAATCACATTTTTGCCACGTGCACTAATCTAATTCAAAACACATTTTCATAAGCTAAAAGCAACCAACCAACAAATAGTCGAACTGCATAGACTCTGATTTTTCTCATCACTCGATGAGAAATACATAGGCACAAGGTTATGAAATCAAGATGAGTCCACTAACATTTAGTTTATTCCTTCCCATTATATATACTCCTTCCTTTGAAAATAAGTAAATAAAGCAGTTTAGACAAGAAGTAGAAATTAACATGCAAGTTTTCCCTTAACAAACACAACTTAAAACTAAAACTGTAGGGGGTTCCTGTTGAATAGAATGTAGGTGAGGGGTGCCTAACACCTTCCCCTCACTTAACTCACTCCTGGGCCGTTATTCGGTTGCGATGAATGTCTTATCCTTACCTTTAGGGTTTTATCATTATTTCCCTTATTCCTTAGGAATGAATAAAAATGGTGGCGACTTTGTGATTTTTGCAATCGCGACAAATAGAAGACATTAGAAACTCTTCGGGATAAACAACTAACTGGTTAAGGAGAGGAACTAACCTCATCACACATGTGTCTATCTCCTTTACCAAATCACATCAAGGAGAAAGAAAAAGTTGGCCAACAAAAGCCTAGTCCCCTATAAAATTGACATTTTTTACTCACCCAGATTGTTGAAAAAGAAAGACCACCCAATAGGGAAGGAAAATAAAGAGAAGCACCTTCTGACCCCGTGACAGTATCGACCACAGAGTCAACCTTCACTAATTTTGTCCTTTTTCCCGGTCTTTATTGGGAGCAACTGCACTGGTTCTGGCGTGCTTCTTCTTAGGTTATGAAATTCTGGTAGGTCAGAACTCAGATGTCCTACAGGATGTTGAGACATATGTTCTGACAGAAAAAACATGGCAAGACATAACTAATATAAAATAGTACTAAAAAGCATAAACAACACAAGAGTTATTAACCCAATTTGGTGACAACAACACCTACTCTGGAGGCTACCAAGCCAGGAAGTAAATCCACTATCAGTAGTACTAACTCAAAGATAAACTCCCCCATTTGCAACTTATCACTTAATCCCTATCCAATGCAACTTTTACCTAGGAACTCCTAGATATGAGTATACCCACCCACTTCTAATCACCGCAACGATGTTTAACAGTGCCAGTCCCAGTTACTCTATCAATGACCTTTCACCTAAATGAATAGCACACTTAAAATACAAACAAACACCATAATCAAGACACCCCTTGATTAAGAACAACATACTTGATCTTGCTTCACAACTTTGATCAAGAACAATACTTAGAGTTGCTTAAAAGCTTCCTCTAATAACAATACCACCTCTTGCTTAAAAGCTTCAAGGACAACAATATTAGAGACTACAACTCTATAACATCAGTCCAACTCATAACCGAGTGAAACACACAACCAACTCTCCTAGAGAGTGGTACAAACTCAACCCTGATAACTACATCTTCTCAATTCTCAGTTGGTACCAAAACTAGGTTACAAAAACTTCTATTTATAACCTTTTTCCCAACTGGATTTGGGCTTCAAAAATGCAACAGAGAGAATGCACAAAGTCTGCAAAAACTTCTCCAAGAAAATAGTTCTTCAATCAAAGCTTTCCTAAAATATCTCCATATTTAAAACTTTGAATATCTTGAATACCAATATAAAATATTTGATTTATCAATCTTGGAAGCCATATAGGATTACTAAATATTCCCAGAATATTCAGTAATTAAATCACAACAACTCAATCTAAATTGTCAGCTATAACAGACCTGATGTCATATACTTCTGGTTAGGACATCTTGTTCGACATGTTCAAATAGCAAGTTGAAACAACTTCCCAACTGCAAAATTGTAACAGTCCATATATATTGCTCTTCTGATTAGGACATCGCATTTGACATGTTGAAACTTCAAGTTGAAATATTTTTCCAAATTGTAAAACTGTAACAAACCAAATGTTCTATACTTCTGGTTAGGACATCACACTCGACATGTTGAATCTGCAACTTGAAACATCTTCTTGAACATGTTGCTGCAAAGTTAGTTTTACCAAAATTCATGTCAATCATAATTTCAGAAAATAACAATCTCCCTCTTTGGCAAATTTTGCCTAAAACAACCAAATAATATATGCACAAGAAAACACCATAATCATGTTTAAAAATTCCTCAAACACACACATAAGAGGCACGACAACAAAACAAACATGACAGTAGATTTATGAGCAGCAATACAACCACAAAAATGGTTAGTAGTTATTTAGTCTACTAAACATAGTTGCAATAAATAGAGAAACTAGATTCTCAACACCATGATGTCAAGACATCATGTCTGACATCTCTTCAGAGCCCTTCAGTCTAGAACAGCAGGGACTCCCGCTCAACACCTGCTATCACACCAGAGAATCAGAGATTCTCCCTATTAATAATAGTCAACAATCAGTGGTTCAACAATCAGTGGTTAGTGCGCACACACACACACACACATATACTTCTCCCTCTTTTTAGCCATAATATGACAAAGGAAACAACTAACCAAAACAAACTACAGTAGCACAAACAAGCTTCTTCATCAACAAAGTCTAGGATAATTCCTAGACTTATCCATAAGCATAAAAGCATAAACACAATGTCTTCCACTGGACTCCAAATGAACTCCTTTAAGCCTTCAAGAGTGATATAACCCAAGATACCAGAACATCACAAGTGATATCTCTAAGCATACTATACACTAGGCCCCATCAAACACTGCAGAAAAATAAATTCTTACAGACAAATCATATTGTTTCTTGGAGTAGAACAATATAGACTAGATTCTCTTGGCTAGAATCACACAGACCCAGTTAATGGCATACACTGCTACACCTTATAGCCACATGTCACGACATGTTGTATGATATCTCAACCTCATAGAAACTTCACAAGCTTGTTCAACATGCAAGCTTTAAACAATTTGTATTATTGCAATAACCATCTATAAACAAGACCTAACTCCCCTTGTCATAGATAACCAGATCTCCTGCAGAGGATACATCACTTTATCACATAGAGAACTTTACAATCTCAAAGTGAAGAGCCACAACTTCACACACTTGCTAAACTATATCCATACCCTTGTGAATATAAAAAATCCTGATCCTGATACCCTGACTCCAGGTCTTCAAACTTCTTTAAGGTCGTGTCTGATACATGGCCTTACAGAACCACACAAGTGGTCATACCTCTTTTGGATAACCAAGATGTCGTGCACACATGCTTGGACATCACACAGACATAAGTAATCAGAAAGCTTGCTTTTATACATACCAGGATGACACCTAAATACACCTTTTGCAGCTTATTCAGGTAATCATAGACACCTAAATACCCAATGAGATAAATAAAATCTCATAAACTTTCTGAACCAAAGAGTTCATAAACCATATTTGCATCCACACATATGATAAGTAGCCAACTCCCGGCAAGGTCTTTACCATTAGTAACATGCACATATTCACAAGATCAGACTTATACCCAGCTCCCGACAAGGTATTTGTCATAAGAGGAATACTTCCCCACATACTGCAAATGATGCCCCCCTTCAACAGATGTTCGAAAAAAATTTCTGACATCCTTCTTCTTCATATTCCTAGCACAAGAGGATTCTTCATAATATTCCAGACTTGATCAGAGAATGTCCTTCACACTTTGTCATGGTTAAATATTCCAATTTTGAAATTCATTGGTGAACATCAATGCTCACCCCATGATCTTCAGTATAGCTTCCTTCTTAAGCAACAAACCCACCTGAGATGATGTTTTGTCATCAGATAAGACATAAATCTCAATCAAATGGATTCCACCAATTATTATAGTTATGGAGATAACACCTATAGTAAATCCATACAAACACTCTTGAGGGAGAACACAAGATATCCATACTTTAGCAGTTGGCCATATATGCAGATAAAAAAGCAGCAGCTAACACCACACCCTAGGAGGTTTCTTCATAAGCACATTTTCTAGACCTCTTGTCCGCCTTTGAGATGTTAAACACCATCCTTGTACATAAAAAAATTCCCTCTATCATGTAGACCACAACACACAGGGTTTTGTATGATCATCAACCCTTCAAACAGACTGTCTAGAAAAGAAAACTTCTGCTTCTCCCAATCATTCTGGATAACTCATCATGACTATAAGTTAATCTTCTAGAATATTAACTTACCTCAGGTTGATGCATCTCTATTTCATACAACCACTAGAGTGTCTCTTCCATTTTAGCAGAACAAGAGTTCAATGTTCTCATAGACTTGATAAAAGATACCAAGTTTGAGTAAACAACCTTTATCCCGTGTGAGAGAAACATCAG